CGCGTGCGCATTAAGCCGTGCGCACCGGCCCGCGGCGCCCCGTCTGCGGCCGGCCGCTGTGCGTGGGGCCCGTGAGCGCTCGCAGGAGGGCTTGGTGAAGACTGTGTCGCCGCCAAGCCAGGCGACCTGAACCCTGGCGATCTCGTCTGCCCTGGCGGCCTCCCTCCAGGCAGCCGCCGCGGGGCAGCCGGAGCGCCGGGCCGCGCAGGCCGGCCAGCAGGAAGGGCGCCACGCTGGTGGAGAAGCCCGCGTCCAGCACCGCCAGGTGGCGCAGGAAGTAGTACATGGGCGAGTGCAGGCGCGGGTCGCGCACCGCCAGCAGCAGCAGCGCCGCGTTGCCTGCGAGCGTCAGCAGGTAGCCGAGGAGGACGAGCGCGAAGAGGGCCGGCTGAAGGGACGGCCAGTCGGAGAAGCCCAGCAGCAGGAAGCGCTCCCCGGTGCTGTGGTTGGCCTGAGGAGAGAGACTGCGGGCATGTTCTGTGCCACTAAGCGACAGAGACTGGCACCGCCACTTACAGGCGGAGGAAGCCCCGGGCAGGGGAGAGGTGACAGCGCACAGATAGTTTATTAACTGCAGTTCCATCTGGCGAGCCCACGAGGGAATGGAAGCTCTGCTTTACGCAGGCACAAGTGGAGGCTCCTAACAGCTAATTAAGTTGCCCTAAGGTCATAGCTAGTCAGTGGCTGTGTATAACTAGTAGTCAGACCAGTCTGATTTTCAAGTCAGTGTTCTTTCACCTACCTCCCCCGTTCTGGTTGTGTTTCAGGGACCACAAAATAAGCCTAATCTTCCTCTCACATGGCAGCCTTTCAGATGGGCAGACTCCACTGTAAGCCTCCTTTCCCCCTACTTCCTTGAACGTGTATACTGCCTAAAATTAGAGCAATACAGCAAGCTTAGCCTAGTACTTATAGGCCACAACTATCACTTTCCTTGTTTGTTTGTTTTGAGACAGAGTCTCGCTATGCAGTTCAGGCTGGCCTTGAGCTTACTTTGTAGCCCAGGCTGGTCTCCACCTTGCAGAGATCCTCCTGCCTCAGCCTCCTGAGTGCTGGGATTATGGGCGTGAGCCACCACGCCTGGCTCCCACCTTCCTTGTTCTGTTTATCCAACGATTAGATTTAGATGGAGCTGGGAAAGAAAAAACCCTGAGCAGACAAAGCCAGTTGGGCCTCATAAGTGACCTTAACCTTCCTTGATTTGCAAACATAAGTGAGACTTCATTTAAGTCAGGCAAGACATTAATATAACTAGGGAATTTCCAGTGAGACAGACCAACTATGACAGTTGTGTAACTGTAACAAATAAAATGTTTTCTTTGCCTTTTATGCTTGTCCTGTAACAGTCTCTCTTTTGTGTTCCATGATTTTCCTGAACCACTTCTGGATTGGATCTGCCCAACTCATGGATTTCTGTTGGTTCAAATAAACTAAATTTTTCATTGTGCCTCAGTTTACTTTTTAACATAGCCCATTATATTGCTGACTACTGTTGTGAGTGGAGACTGCTTACAGTACCCTTGTTCCTCTTCCTGTTGAATGTGATGGTCCTGATCTCCACAGATCAGCGCGTGAGTGCTAGCCTTTAGGCCAAGTGTCGGTGGAGGAAAGAGCACTTGTTGGTAGTCCGGAATCAGAAGACCTTGGTCCCAGCTAGCACAGCCACCTTTATCGTAATATTTGATATGGGTGAGTTACTTCATGTCCCTATCTGTTTCATCAAATTGAGGAGTTTGTATTAGGTGACCTCTAAGGTTTCCATCCTATTTCCTACCTCTACTGTCAAATATTCTTAAACAAATGAAGAAGGGGCACAAAGGACAAAAGGAATTTTAACTTGACATTGAGTGAAATATAATACAGAAACCATCATAGAGTTCCATAAAATATTTGTACTGTAAGTTTCCTAACATATAATTCATATAGATAACTTACTGCAAATAGCATATTCAAACTTTTAATTTAAAAATCATAATCCTCTTACTTTCTGTTTTTCCGGAAAAACTCTTTTTCCCCCAACAAAACACCCTGCTTATATGGTTCCTCACTTTATCCTTATTTGGCAGAAAAAGTATCACTGTGGTGAATAAGAACAAGGACTCAAGGGCCAGGTGCCTGGATTTGAGTCATGGCTCTGCTGTTTCCTAGCTGAGGAACCTTGAGCAAGTGATTGAACCCTGCTGTGCCCCAGTTTCCTCACATAAAAGCAGCAGTGGATGAAGTGAGCTAAATATACAAAGCACTGAGGAACTACATAGTAGGTATTTACTGAACATTAACTATAGCCATCCTTCTTTCACAGATCAGGAAACAAGTTTTTTTTTTTTTTTTTGGTGGTCCTGGGGATTGAACACATGTCCTCAGGCATGCTAAGCTCTCCGTTTACTACTGAACTATATCCTCAGTCCAGGAAACAAGTTGTAGAAGAGTTCTTATACTAATTTGTGACAGAACTGCTATAATAATTCATATTTCTTTCATATGTTAACTCTGACCTTTACCCACTTGAAAACTAGGGAATAATTTTATGGAGTAGGATAGGAAAGTAGCTGAAATGAAGTAACAAGATCACATTGTCTGTAAATGCTTAATAGAATTTCGGCTTAAATATGACTAACTCCAGGTCTTGTCTTTTTCTTTTTTCTTTTTAATAAACCAAGCTCTGTAATTCCAGAGACACTGGAGAGTAAGAAGACATGCAAAGCTTGGTCATTATTTATAGATAATTTTTAGCATTGGGGTCATAATGGACACAAAGTACAAGAGGTTAAATTTGGGCTTATGGACCAATGGTGGCTAGAGATGTTGAGAATAAGGTTCTTTGCCATCATGATTACATAGACACACACCATTCACCCAGGCAAGTCCTAAGCCATTTTCCTTTAAACATGCCACAGCATAAAAATGCACACTAATAAAATTTCCCAGATAATATCCTTATTACATGTATGAACACATTTCCAAATATGTAGCTGCAACACATGTGCACACCCACACCCACAGTCATTCTCCTTATGTACACAGAAAGCACATCTGTTAAAGGATATATTTAGTGTTTCCCCAAACCTCCTTGGTATGGTAGAATATGCTCCTCAGCTGCAAAATCATGTTTTCTGAATGGAACATAGTGATAAACTTACCTTCATGTCTAATCTCTGGTCCTAATATTTTCAGTCTTTGAGTTTTCAGATGCTGCGTGGCTTTATTTCTCCTGCTGTGGATTCTGGGTTTGAGATGACAGTGAGGAGATTAACAAAAGATCCAACAGTATAACTGCATTGATCTCTGAAATGAGTACCTGAGATCAGATCCAGGCACCTCAGGAGGAAGACAGAGGGTGGGTGCCATCCTGCTTGTCAGCAGAGGAACGAATAGAACATTGGGAAAGAATTCAGATGCAGTGATGTCTGTCGTTGGATGTGGGGGTAGATGAGGCAAGGACTTGACCGGATCTTGCAGTGTAGTCAGTCAGCATCAGCTGATAGTGACAACAAGAGCATCCTTCAGACCCTTAGGGCCGTGGCAGTTGGAGAGAAGAGGGAGGATGTTGTTGAATCTTCTCACTAGAGAGGAAACAGGGGGATAAACTTCCCTTATTATTTTCAAGAAAGGACAGAGCTCTGGGAAACCTATGTCCCACTCTTATAATTAGTACTTCCTATGGAGGTGTCCAGAGAGGGAGAATTCTGGAAAGAAAGTCCCTTCAGAGTACTATGTCTGTGGCTGGGTGTGGAGACCAGAGGCAGCATAATTTCCTCTCCTTCTCATTTCCACACTTCAGCTTTTGCTGGTTCAGAATTTCATTCTCTAAAAGTTGGAGGGAAGGGGGAGGGAGAAGAAGGGAGAGGGAAGTAAAATGATTAAGATATTTTATGTACTTATATCAGCTCTTTAAGATGAATGTAATCATTATGTACTACAAACATGTACTAATACAATTTTAAATATTAAAAAAAGAATTTCAGCCACCCTTGGTGGTGTTAATCCTAACACTCGGGAGGCTGAGGTAGGAGGGTCGTCGCAAGTTGAGTCCAGCCTGGGTTACAACGTGAGCTCAAGGCCAGCCTGAACTGCATAGTGAGACCCTGTCTCAAAAGGACCAAAAAAAAAATTTCATTCCCTGATTGAATGACCAAAAGCTAGCTGATTAACCTCAGTGATTCTCAGTGTCATCATCTGTAAAACATGGAGAACATGTGAGAGATGTTGCAGACTTGTTGAAATCACTCTCAATTTTGAGTGATTCTTTATCATCAGGTTTTGCTATCATCTCCACCACCCCTTTATACCCCCTCATTCTTGCATATTTTGCCCCAGGTTCACTCCCTTGTCATAATTTTTGGTGAATTTATTATCCACATGGATTATACTTTTTTACCTCTCCTTTCAGTTTCTTGGGAATGTAGACATTTGTCATGTCCATCATCTCCTTGCTATGTAGTCCAGGCTGGCCTCATACTCACAGCAGTCCTCCTGTCTCAGCTTCCAAGTGCTGGGATTACAGGCATCCATTACCATGCCCAGCTTACATTAACATTAAAGGACAGGGGCTAATGTTATCCAACAATCATCTATCTATCTGTCTGTCTGTCTGTCTATCTATCCCTAGTTCACACACTAGTGCACACTCCTACATAAGTAATATTTTCTGGTCTTTTCTCAAATTCACAATTCTCTCACTGTTTTGCTATGTCTCTTTGTCAGACAACATCATCTTTCTCCAATAATTTACCAATTTCTTTTTTTTTTATGTCTTTTTGAGACAGGGTCTCGCTATGCAGTTCAGGCTGGCCTTGAGCTCACTTTGTAGCCCAAGCTGGTCTCAAACTCTCAATGATCCTCCTGCCACAGCCTCCTGAGTGCTGAGATTGTAGGCGTGCGCCACCATGCCTAGCATACTAATTTCACTGAAAAACTTAAGAAGAGAACTTTCACAAGCTCTCATCCCTCCATCTTCGCAAATACTTCTATCTGTGCTCATATTCTACCAACAGGGTAAACTATTTGTGTTCCTGTCTGATGTCAATCCCTTCGCATGCTCACTGTATCTCACCACTTTATACTTACCCAAGGACACTGTTCTAGTATCTTTTGGTGTCTTTGTTCATTTGCCTCTCTAGTGGATCATTCCTACCAGCACACAAACATGCTTTATTTTTTTCTAGTTCAACTTTGTTTTAATGGGTCTCAAAATTCTGTGACAGACTTTTTGCTCAAGTTATTTCCATTAAAAAGTGTTGATTTAAAAAACCAATAACTTAAAAACTGCCACACACCCCCAAATGATCCACAAAACATTCTTCTTTCCTTCTGAAGGTTGTTATCATTAACCAGTCTTTCACTATTAAACTTAAATGGCCAATTGGGAGAAACAGTTCTGACACTGGTCTTCCAGCACTGATTAAGACTGGGGTGGCAGTTGTTAGGGATAATGTCAATTCAGCCTTCTGAGCCTTCTGGGCAGAACTGGTGACCCTGCCAGCTCCAGAAGCCTTCTTGTCCACTGCTTTAATGATACCCACAGCCACTGTCTGTCTCATATGAAGAACAGCAAAATGACCCAGAAGTGCCTAGTCAGAGACGCTCTCAACACACATGGGCTTGCCTGGAACCATGTCAACAATGGCAGCATCACCAGATTTCAAAAATTTGAGCCCATCTTCCAGCTTCTTACCAGACTGGTGATCAATCTTTCTTTCAGCTCAGCAAACTTGCAAGCAATGTGAGCTATATGACAATCCAGTACACGGGCCCAGAATTAACCTCTTTTATTGCTGGGGTCACAGGACCCCTAGTGATTATTGTAGTGGTCCTTACTTTTGGGCCATGCATAATTAATTGGGTTAAAAAGAGGATCCAAAGTAGTGTGAACCAAGCAAAAATGGTGGTTCTAAAGGAGAACACCAATTATAGAGACCAGATCTTTGATGTGTGAAGGACAATACATGTCCTAAAAAAGGAAAATATGTCCTGGGGGGGGGGAAGAATGATAGGGCAAGAGAGGCTC